TGAGGGCCCTGGTACTCACCGGTTCCCCAGCCTGGCCTGTGGGCCCCGGAGGTCCCTCTGCTCCCTGTGGGAAAGCATTCATCACTCGGTGAGGGGGGGGGTGGGGAGTATAACCCTCAGAAAACCACCTTCCCTCATCTGGGCACCTCTTCCAGGGGATCCCAGAGCCAGAGTGTAAGGCAGTAACCAACAGACTGAGCACACGTGATTCAGTTCGGGCCCCTGACCCCAAACCTGAGTCCCACCTACCAACTCTGGTACTAGCTCCCAGCCCTCAGTCTACCTTTTTGAGCCCCACTGAGGATCCTGGCCCTCCAGCACAGACCCTCACCTCTCATCCCGGCCCCTGAAGACTCCATTCCTCTCTGACTCTCACTCTAAACCATTTCCTCTCTTCCCCAAACTTACCTTCTCACCATCCTCTCCTGGGGGGCCAGGTTGCCCCACATGGCCAAAGTCACCCTGGAGTTAGGAGGGGGGGGGCGTTCAGAGTGGAGATGTGAGGGTAGAGACCAGCCTCCCAGGGAAGGACATGCGGCACAGGAATGAGAGCTCGGACATGGGGATGGGGATTCTGACCCTGGGGGTGGGGAGGGCATCCTGAATACTGGGAGGCTTGACATGCAGGAGGGGCCTCACACACTCACCCTTTGGCCCTTCTCACCAGGCAGCCCTGGCAGGCCGTCAAAGCCCCGATCACCCTGCACAAAGAGACACCGCCTGAACCCCGAATCCTCGACCCAACCGTCCCTCTAAGTCCCGAACCTGACCTTATCACCTACCTTAGGTCCTGTGTCCCCTGGGAGGCCCCGGGCCCCATCTGCTCCAGAGCGGCCCTGTCAGGGAGGTGACAACATCAAGACACCCATCGCTGTCTGTTGAGCTCCTCCCTCATGAAGAATCCTGGGGGATTCTCTGTGTATCAGTTTAACTTCCCAAACACATCTCAAACCCGTCCACTGTTCTTTATCTCCAGGCCCTTCCCCCGAGTGCACATCACCAGGATCACAAAAATTAAAATCTCCAGTCTCCATTAATTGTCCCAGTTCTTCATTTCCCGCTGCATTTAACAATTGTCTGGAATTATCTTGCTCATCATCTCCCTCAGTATACCAGTCTTTTCTTTTGCGCATGCTGTTCCTTCTACTGGAATGCCCTTCCTCTCCTGTTTACTTGGTTATACCTCAGACCTCAGTTCAAGCATCATTCTCTCTAGAAAGTCCTCCTTGGCTCTGTGACCTGACCAGATCCCTTTGTGACAAACTCAGTGGAGCTGCCATTCTCCGTCCTCGGTGCCCTTATCCCACCAATGACACCAGCAGACCCTGCGGGCACGGAGCCAAGACTCCTGTTGGGTGTTGAGGGATAGATGAGGGATGGCCTAAAGACTTACGAGTTACTCACCATCTTTCCCTCCCGGCCAGGGGGCCCAAGAGGTCCCTGAAGGCCTCGGGGACCCTAGGAGAGAAAAGGAGGAAGAAAAAGGAGAACAAGAAGGAGAAAGGACTTACTTTTAATCATTCTCTAGGAAGGGCAGCAATTGCAAAGGTATCCTCAGCCCCTTTGTCATTGTCCTCAAACAGCACTTTATCCTGTGGCTCCGGGAGAAGACCCTTCCCCTCCAATCCTGGCCCCATCCCCCAGTCTCACCTGTGGCCCCATTTCTCCCATCTCTCCTTTCTGACCGGGATACCCAGGGAGACCCTTGGAGGAAAGAGATGGGGAAATGGAATTAGAGGGAGGTTGCCCTTCTCCACTGATGTGTCCCCCTCCTCTGTACAGTCTCCTTACTCACCACAGGGCCTGGGCGCCCAGTGAGCCCCACCGGGCCAGGAGGACCTTTCATAGACAGCTGGAAAGATGGGGGAAACAGATCCTCAGGTCTCCCACAAAACCCCAACACCCTCCAAAAGAGCATCTTCAGGAGACAAACATCCACCTGCCCCCCAACTAGCCTCCATTATGCCCATCTCTATCATTCCCTCAATGTCCTCCCATTGGTCCCCTGATTATCTTCCACTCACCTGAGCCTGTTGCAGGACTGCCTGCGCCTGGGCTTGCTGGAAGGAGACTGGGGGTCCTTTGAGGGAGCTGCTTGCAAACTGGAACTAGGGGGCAGCTAGTCATGAGGGGGGCCCAAGGAGAGGCCCCTCCTGGGTCAGGACTACACCCCCCAAGGATGTGCTACCCTATCCCCCTCTTACCGGCATCATGATCACAGTGCCTGGTAGACCCCGGATCCCATCGATGCCAGGGATTCCGGGGAGGCCAGCAGGACCCTGAGAGAGGGAGAGACACAGAGGGGGATGGAGGCAGAGAGATAGACAGACAGAGATGAGAGATAGAGATAGAGGGGGAGAGGGGAGAGACAGAGACATAGGGAGAAAGACAGAGATGAAGGACACTCAGGGATAGAGACAGATGGAAGGAGAAAAGCAGGGGATACACCGCCAGAGACAGGACATGGGCCAGAGTGACAATTCACAGATGGAAAGAGAGATGAGCAAGTGGGGCCAGTGCCAGCTTCAGTGTGGTGTCCTCAGTCCCTGCCTCCCAGATCCATGTTCAGACATACACGTGCCCACCTTCAGCCACATGGCCCAAAACCTCACCCCCCCCAAAAGGATACAACCCAGAGGGAGTCTCTTACCGGTAGACCAGGGTCTCCAGGGAATCCTGGGGGGCCGGGAGGGCCTGAGGGGCCGACCACCCCCTGTTGGGGACAGAGAACAGAGGTTCATAAGGAGTGCAAAGCTCGAGCCAGGCCAACTTCTGACCCACCACTGACTCTGACCCCATGCAGACCTCCTTACCCATCACTGAGCCATTCCTGGCCCCTCAGTACTATATTGAACCCATACCACCCCCCAACTTTACATCCCAACCCCTATTTTGATTCACCCTTTGAGCCTCAAATATGCAATAATCTTTTAATGATATGGCAATGTTACACCTCAACCCTCCACCCCCGGGTCTCAAATACCCCAACTAGAATAGAAAGGAAGAGGGGGGTGCAGCCATCACTCACTCGGGGTCCTGGGGCTCCTGGAGGTCCCTCAAACTTCTGTCCCTGAGGGAGAAATGAGTGTGACCCCCGTTCTAGCCCAGACCTCTCCACCTCCTCCTAGCCCCAGGCCCCTCACCTGTTCAATCACTGCTGGTTCCCCTTTTGCTCCCTTTTCTCCAGCACCCTGGGGCAGGGGAATGAACAGAAAAGACATGTGAGCCCTGCCCATGGTCAAGGAGAAGAGCATGAACTTCAGGGTGTGCTGTGGGGTCCTAATCCTGGAGCTGCCTCTCACTATCTGGTGACGGGGAACAACTTATTCGACTCCTATGGCCTCACCTGCAGAGTCAGTAGGCAAATGGTAACAGTGTATGTCCCCCAGGAAGAAGAATAAATTAAAACAATGGTCGACACATAACAAGCCCTCAGGGTAGGTTGGCTATGAGCATTCCCCTCCTCCCTTGCCCAATACCAAGGCTAGAACCTGGGACCCTTCCCAGTCTGCACTATTTTCCGAAGCAATCTTGTCCAATCCCTTGGCTAAAGGTAGCATCCCTCCGGTTGATGGTTCCCAAGTCTTTATCTCCAACCTTAGACCATGTCCCTTGAACTCCAGAATCTTCTAAACAATCACCCACTTGGCATCTCCATTTGGATGCCAAGCAGGGGTTGCCAGTTTAGCACATCCAAAATGGGACCCTTGATGCTTTCCACCCGCTCTTCCTTTAGGCGTCCCCATCTTGTTCAAAGGTGCCACCATGCATCGGCTAAGTCATCCTCGCATCTTTCTCCATCTCCAGTAGTAAGACAGGCCCAGATCTGTCCACTTCTTTCTGTCCCCACTGTCACCACCTTGCTCCAGGTCACCAGGCTCTTGCTGCACAGACCACTGGTTTCCCTGCTGCCCCTCTGGCTCCCCCTACAGTCCATATGCTGTTCAGCAGCCAGAAAGAGCTTTTAAAGCTCCAAGTCCGATCAGGCTCCATGAGCTTGATCAAGAGGTTTCTCATCACGCTTGGACTAAAGGCCAAACGCATAATTCTATACACGGAGCCATCCATTCGTGAAGTTCCTGTCACATCAGCATAGTGATAATATTTAGCATCTACAGTGGGGTGGTGGGAAGGCATTCTAGGCAAGATTAAAAGAAGGCAAAAGAGAAAATGTGGTCCTATGTGGTTCCAGGCAGGACTTCCTCCCCGCCCCCCCCCCACCCAAATACTCAGACTCACAGAAAAAATCTGGAACTGAGTCTGTGACGGCTGCTCTGCTGCCCGGAAGACAGGGACAATGGTAGGGTCACCTCCTTCTTTGTCTTCTTTGGCTAACTTAGTCTCCAGGGTCCTCAGTTCTGTTCCACTGTCAGGGTCCAGGGGCCCCTGAGAACATTGTGACAGACCCAAGTTTGTCCCTGATGTCCTCATTGTCTGCCACCACCAGTTCCCAGGACTTTCCCTTCCCCCTTCCCTTCCAGCCCTGTCCACTTCCCACTGACCTCTAGCATGGTGACATTGTGGCCAATAGTCACAGTGGTGGTCATGACCAAAGGCGTGGGAATCGGAGGTAAAGTTGAAGCTGGTGTCTCTGTTTGGGGGATGTCAGTGGAGGTCTGCAGCAGGGACAAAAGAAGTATCAGTTCCCCAGGGGAAGCTAGACCCTGCCCCCGCCCCCAGCAATGCCCAGTCCGAGGAAGGAAACAAAGGAGGACTCCCCCAAAAAACCATCAGCGAGGTATAAGGTAGGGGACTGGGACTGGTCAATGGAGGCAAATGTGTTCTGACTGGATCAGGACAGCCGCCAGCAGGGGGAGGCCTCTTGTGTGGAAGAAGAGCAAGGCTGGGTCAGGTCTGGGAGACCTAGAAGGCAGAGTGGGGCTGGCTCGATAACCACAGTCAAGGTCCAGTACTCAGGACCAGACTCCAAGAAGCCCACCCCACATGTCTTCTCCCAAGGCAGAGCTCAGTGGTCAGCCAGCCAGGCCACAATTAGAGAGGCCTGGACAGCTGTAGAGAAATTTGGTCAAGGGCACAAAGAGGGTAGTAGAGGCCCAGGCCCTTCCTGAGGAAGGGGTTGGGGAGGGGTTCTTTTTCTGGGCCTGAAGTGATCATTTCTTTCTCTCCACTGAGTTAGTACATCAGTGAGAACAGATGGAATGTGACCAGTGACTCTCCCCCAACCAATGGCCTGCACCAAGGATGCCTACCCAGTGACTCACCAGCTAATGATCTCCCATTAATGACCTCTAATGATTCCTACAACCAGGGGCCCATTAGTGACTCCCTAATTAATGACCCCCATCAATATCCACTGACTAATGATCCCACTAAGGGACTTAACCAATGACCCCTCCAACTAATAACTCACATCACTGGCCTTTATTCCTATAACTAGTTATTCCTGTAACTAGTGATCCATCAGCGGCCCCTGCAGTCAATGACTACAACCATTTACTCTCCCATCCAGTGACCTCCCCAAACAATGACCCCCTCCACAACAAGTACTAGCTAGTAGACCCTCAACTACTAAGCCTTACCAGTGACCCCCTAATCAATTATTCCCCTAACCACTGATCCTCCAACAACAAGCAACCATGAACGAGCCCATCTATTGCTACCCCACCAATGACCCCAAACAGTAATTTCACTAATCAGTGACCCATCAATGCCTTCCCAACTAATAATCCATCAGGGACTCCCAAACCAATTATCTCATCCATGACCCCTGAAAGTCATTTCTGCAACTGGTGACTATAACTGGTGACCCCACTAGTGCCTTCTAATCAGTGGTCCCCTACTGATGACCTACCTTCCTTCCCAACTAATAATCCCCATCAATGGCCCCTTCCCATTAACCCTAAACCAGTGACAACAATAACACCAACAGTGGTCTCTATCAATGACTTCCAACAATGACCCCCACTTAGGAACCTCTCAAACATCAACCTCAATCAATATCTCCCTTTAGTGACCTCCCAACCCGCAATCTCTATCAGGAAAGCCAAATAGTGCCCCCCAATTAGACTTCTCCAATGAATAACCCTCACCAGTTACCTAGACCAATCAATCCCAAACAATGACACTCTAACTAATGAACCCATTATTCACTCCAGCTAATTGCTGCCCTTAAGCAGTAGCCTCCATCAAGAACCTCCTAATATAAGGTAATCATCTGGGTTTGCCCCTTTCCTCCAGCCCCAAAAACTGGACATTGAGGAGCAGAGATGAGAAAGCTCATAAGACAGTTCCAGCCCCCCTGCCACACATAGTTGTCAGCTGAGACAAGTCAAAGGTCAGGGATTGGAGACCAAAGGCATAGAACTTGGATGAGGTACCAGCTGTCAGTAGGAATCAGAGACCAGAGGTCAGGCAGTCAAAGAGCAGAGGTGAGTGGCTGCAGATCCCTTACCTGGTTCTCCAGGGAGCCAGGAGGTAGGCTTGGGGTCAAAGTCTCCTTGTTCTTCTTCTTCTTCCTGCCCTTCCCCTTACGACCTCGCCCTTTTTTCTTCCCTTTTCCCTTCCCCTTACGTCGAGGGGCTGGAGTTTCTGGCTCACCCTGGGGGGCCTGGGAAGAGGACCTCCATCAGGTCTAGAGCCCCTCAGTGGAGCCCCCATGGCTCAGTCATCTGGGACCATGCTGGCACATGGCTCATTGGTCCCATGTTTTGAACCCAGGGCTCACTCAGTCCTGTGACCTAGGGTCAAGCATACGATCTGGATCCAAGAATCACTCAGTTATGTGACTTAGATCAAGGTCACTCATGCCTAGGACCTTCTTGAGGGCAGGAGTCACTCAGTCCCAGGTAGGGGTTAGAATTCACTCATTCCTGAGATCTGGATCCAGGGATGATTCAGCCTGACCTTAGGACAAACCCCTCACTTACCCCTGTGGCTATAGGGTCCAGGTTGTCACAGCCAGGAAGGTACCGCTCACAGGCCTGGAAGGCAGCCTGAGGATCTGGACTTATCAGCAACTCCTGAATATCTCCCTGGAGAGAGGATGGGGACCAGGGAAAGAAAGCCACAGGCTGACTCTGACACCCTATTCCAAGCACCAAGGCTTGGTATTTCTCTACCCAGGGCCCCATAAGTATAAAGAGGGGGTGGCCCCACCACAGCCCCCACAATCCCTCTGAGAGGGAGGAAGATTCTGTCACGGTCACACCAAATCACAGCCATAAATCATACCCTACAACACCTGTCCCATCAGAGGCACATTTATTCCTTTGCCCCCAGGCACCTGACACCTAATATGTCCCAGGTGCCCTTTAAGGTATTGGGGATAAGGAGGGGAACAAGATGAATGTGGTCCCTGGCCCCCTGGAGGGGACACACATCACAACCACACACAGTCACACACCATCGTAGCAACCAGTACAGTCCCACGTCTCCACCGTATTCTACCACGAGTCAAGTATGCACTATTGCGTACTGTTGTTTTGTGGCTCTACAATCTCACGCACCACAAGATGCACAACGATGCATTCCACTCCCTCTCCTCAGCTTCCTGGACCTGGGGTGAAGCTGGCCAAAACGCCTTCCCGTCCCCTGCCTCAGTTTCCCCGACCACTGAACCCCTACCTCAAAAGTCTCCTCCCCGACATCCTGGGTTCCCAACACAGTGAGTCCAGCCGTGCTAATGAATCGAGGCCCCTGGCCCAACGTGGGGGGCTGAGGTTCACAGTCAGCCACCAGAGTCACCATCCTGCCATCCACACTGATTGCCACACGGTGCCACCTGCAAGAGGACAGTCTCAGTGGGGGGTGCTTCTCACCCCACTTCTCTCTGGACCCCAACCTTCCCTATACTCACCTGCCATCCATGAGATTGACCTGCTGGGGGAGGGGGCTGAAGGAGTCACCTAGGAGACCCAGAGCTGGCCCCAGAGCCAGGCCCAGCTGCCGAGCACCACCCTCATCATAAATGGACAGAAGGACAGATTGGTTGGCTGGCTGGCCCCGCAGAGTGATCAGCACGGAAAAGTTCTCGGGAAAGTGCCCATCTGAAGGGGCAGAGGGAAAGGGGCAGCTTAGAGGGCCTGGCAGAGACCCATGCTCCCAGGATGACTCCCCCCAACCCCTCCTGCACTGACTCACCTGGAAAAAGCTCCCACGTAGGGATCCCAAGTGTGGTGGCCTTGCCAACCCTGAATGCCCGGTCACCCTCCGGGGCCCTCTGGGGGCAGAAGCCAGGCCCTTCAGAGACCCCAGCCTGGCCCCCTCGCACACCCAGGGCCTTCAGCACATCCACAGGGTCTGCTGTAGAGAGAAGCCGGGGTGCAGGGCAGTTAAAACAAATCTAGGACTCCATGTGAGTAGCTCAGGTTTGGGGGCTTCAGCCCCCCACGGTGTTTGTGGGTCAGAGAGAAGGAGCAGGCGCGGGACCTGACCCATCTCACCACCCCACAGCTGTTCCAGCCTCGTCAGCCTGTTGACTCCTGTTCCCCACCACCCCCCCGCTTGGTTTTTGGTAGGGGAAAAAAAAAAAAAAAGCTGACCTACTTCTGGGATGAATCAAGGCTTCCTGGCCTGAGCCCCAGAGCCAGACTGTCCCCCTCTCTGCTCTCCCCCGCACCAACTCCCTGGGGCTGCTTCCCAGCCTGAAGCCCCCTGCCAGGGGAAACCCACTTGGAGAGGGGGGGCTCCTAGTGTGTGTTTCCCCCACCTCCTCCCTCTGACCTCCTCCTTTGACTGCCACTTCCTCTGAATTCCTCCTCCCTGATCATCACCCATGATCTACTCCCTTTCACCACTACCTCTCCTGACTTCTTCCTTCTGACCCCCTCCTTCCTTGATCACCATCACCCATGACCTCCTCTTTCTGCCTAACCCAGTCTCCTCCATCTGACCTGTGACCTCCCCATTTTATCACCTTCTCTGACCTCCTCCTGATGACTGCCTCTCTCTAATAACCTCCTGACCTCCTCCCTCTGACCCTATCCCTCCTGACCTCCTCCCTCTGACCCTATCCCTCTTATCCTAGCAAAGGAGGGAACTGGTCTGGCCCAACCAGATCCTAATCCAGGCCATCCTACCAGCCCCACCCCACACAGCAGGCCAGTGCTAAGTGGAACCACATGGCTTGGGCAGGGGAGGGCGGGGGCTTCGTCTGGGCCCAAAGCCCCTGCCTGCTCTCCCCTCCCCCCAGCAGACTGTCCCACTGACCCCCTGACCCAGCCTCTTGGCAGGAGTCAGATTCTGTCAAATCTGTCCATGACCTCACCCTGGGGGCGGTTCTACTGACCTCACCATTGGCAGTGAGGGTGGGGGGCCAGACTTGGGGGAGATAGGGGCTTGGATGAGGGACCCCCATCCCAGCTCCTCCTGGGTCAGACCCTTCATTCTCCAGATTTACAGACCCTTATTCCAGCCTCTGCTCACTCTTGCCTCCAACCTCCTGTTCTGTCTTTCTCCTCTCCCCCTCCCTGCCCTCTCTCTGTCCCACTTTCTGTGTTGGTCTTTCCAGGTCTTTCTCTGCATCCAACTCTGAATCAGTCTGTCTCTCTCACTCTCTTGTTTCCTAGCTCTTTCTGCGTGTCTCCCGGTACTTCAATGGTTCTCCTTCCTCTCTGTCTCTCTGTCCCTCTGTCCCTCCTCTCTCTCCCTCTCCCTCTCTCTCGATAGATACATAGATAGATAGACATAGACATATACTATATATACATATATACGCATATCTGGCGGGGGTTACTCTCCTCATCCCCCTCTCTCTCCATCCACACACACACACACACACACACACACACACACCCCTGTTCTGCTGCTGCCACCACCAGCCCCGTCTCTAATTGCCTGTTCTCTGGCTAGGCTGTCATTAAGAGGTATTTGGGTTACAGTCCCCTGAGACTAAGATCTGGGCTCCCAGGCTCTGTCAACCACAAGGGTCACTCCCCCATGGAATGATCATCCCAGCTGCCCCCTCTCCAGGCTGGAGCCCCAGGGAGGGCTGAGAGTCACGACCCCGTACAGTGTGGCTCTCCCAGGCTTTCCCCTCACCCAGACCCCTGTCTCGATGCAGCAGGAATGGGTGTCCCCTCAACCAGCTGCTCACTCACATTTAAAAAGTCCTTCTCAGCACCTAACCCAAATGTCTCTTGCTACAATCTTGCATATCTTCTGTAGTGACCTTTCAGAAACTGACTGCCCTTTCTTTTCATGGCTGGCTTTGTGACAAGGGGACACACAAGAGGCATTGAGTCCTGCCTGCAGGGTCAGAGGGTGGGGGTCTGTCAGGGACCCAGCCTGACCTTCCCCCACTCTCTCTCCTGTGCTGGTCAGGGCCCCAGGAAGATGTTGGATGGGGTCTAGGATATGAAGGGAGGCAGGCAGGGCCTAACTAGGCTGGGGCATGGTTGGGATCTCCTCAGATGTTCAGGAGAGCACAGGTGTGGGTGTGGGTGCTACTGTGTACATGAGATTGTGTAAGCACGTGCATGACTCTGTATGGACCAGGGAATGGCTGAGCACGTTGTCAGCATAGGCCAAGGATCTGGCCTACAATGGAGAGCCGAGGTGCAGCTATTTGATGTGTGGGTGGGTATCTCCTGGCACTGAGTTCACAGTCCGGCTGGTCACGCAGGTGAGTCTGTGATTATAATAGGCGACACTTGAGATGGGGAACTGTGGTCACATGGGAGAGTACGGACAAGTCGGCGAGCAGGTGACTGGTTGTGAATGCTGACTGTATTGTGTGGATACCAGTGCACACATGTGCAAGAGTTGGAACGTGTAGGAGGGTGACAAAGGCTGTGACCCTGTGGCGGGTGGCTGCTGGGGTTGCCTGGGGCGTGGGCCCCGGTGTTTCACTTTGGGGTGTCCCAGAGGGCTTATATTTTGAATGGATGCCTATGATGGCACGAATGTATGGATGTGTCAGCATGGGAATGGGACATAGGCCAATTTAGGATAATCCACATGAACAGGCACCTCCCTGAACTCCAGAGAAAGTGAGAAAGTGCAGGATGGGGTGTGTGTGTGTGTGTGTGTGTGTGTGTGTGTTGGGGGACTGAGCTCACCCTAGGGAGCGATTTCCAGGAGGCTCTAGCCCAGCCTCTCTCAGACCAGGGATGCCACTTGAGGGACCACAATCTTCCCAAAGGCGCCTCTCTAACCGCGAACCCCAGGCGGTGACATGTCCAGCCAAAAGCGCGCAGCTGGGCGTGCGTCAGCGCTGACTCAATCTTCGTCTGAAAATGGCCCCCGGGACCCTTGGGGCCCCTGAGAAATTCCTCGGGAAAAACACCCGCAGCTCGCTCGGCTGGGGGGAGCAATCTCTCACTTCCGCCTCCCCGCCCGCGCGCCTGCCCCGCTCCCCGCCCTCAAGTGCCTGCCCCGCCTCGCTCACCGCGGCCCGAGTCTCCCGTCCATGGTGTTGATCGCGGCTCGGCGCGGGTGGGGGGAGGGGGGAGAAGTGGGGACTGAGGAGGGCGCGCGCCAATTGGAGGCAGAGGAGGGAGAGGAAGAATAGGATGCCATTAGGGGGAGAGATGGAAAGGAAACCTGAGTCCCCGATTAGCCTCTCCCTTACTCGTCCACTGCTCACCCCCCAGAATCGCTCATCATCGTCCTCTTGGCGATTGTTTACGCCCCAGAATCACAATCGACTCCTCATCGGGTCACCTGAAGACAAACAATCATACTAACATCACGATTATTCTCTTAGGTCAGCTCCCACACAGACACACTCCACAACTCACGATCACCATCCCTTGGCTAGAATCACCCATCACCACATTCATACAATAGTCGTCAACTCCCACACCCACTTTCCCACACACGATTTCACTTCGAATGGCTCACACACACATTGCCGCCGCACAACTCTACGTCGTATCTATTCCCAACGCATCCACCAGTAAAACACGGCCACACGTTTCCCCCCTCCGCCAGCTGTCACACCCACAAATCGCCCAGAGTCTGACACGCGAGCCCGAACACAACACCCTATCCACGCGCAACGCGCACGCCCCTTCGCACGCCCCCCCCCCCCATTCCCGACTCCACCCCATCTTTGAATCTCGTCAGGGATCCTGCACCGGGGTCCTTTTCCCATTCTCCGACTCACTGCCTGCGTCCGGAGCAGAAGCTGCAGCGAGGCCAGGAGCAGGCAGAGGCCGGCCCGCGGCTGGCTCAGGCCTCGGCGACTCCCCATCCCGGCGGGCCCCACACGCAAGGCGGGGACCGGCCGGGGCGTCTACGGGGCGCGGCGTCTCCTCGGGCTCCGTGCGCTCACTTGCCGCGGCCGGCTCCACTCGGGATCGGCAGGAGACTGCGGGACTGCCCCACTTGCTTCCCAGAGCTCGGCCGGGCGGGCTCGAGGAGGGGGTATGACAGCTGGTGGGGGAGTTGGGAAAGTTTGTGCTGAGTGCTGATTGGCCGGCCAAGGCCGGAGCCCTGGGCAAGGAGCTGGGTCCTCTATGCCCCACCCCACAGTGGGGGAAAAGTGTCACTCCCACCCAGCCTTAGAATTCGGGGTCCCAGACTTACCCCAAACTCCTTCCTCCTAACAGGCTCCCTCAAGGGAAGTCTGAGCCTCATTCAAACCTTCAGCCTCCATCCAAGCCCTGGAATTAAGGGGTATAGCTTTGTACCAAATCTATTCTGTCTCACCCAGGCCCCCAAATGGGGTTCCAGCCTGATGCCCAATTCTCACTCATTTCCTTTACCCCAGTGCTCAGTCACACTATGAAAGGTACCAGCTTCATCCCAAGGCCTTCCCTTCAGGTGTCTAAGTAGACAATCCTGATCCCACCTCCAACCTCACCCCAGATTACGAAGTGTGGTTCCCAGCTTTACCCCAAACTCTCCTTTCCCCACCTAAATTCCAGAATTGGATGTCCTGGCCTCACCCCCAAACCCTCGACATGCTTTCCAAAACATAGCTCTCTACTTCCCCCCAAACTCTTAACCTTCAAACAAAGGGTCCCATCTCCATCTCTAGCCATCCTCTCCCCTCTCCCTGACTCAGGTCCCCAAATGGATGCCCTAGCCCCAATTCCAAATCTTCACATATGCCCCTATTAAATGGGGGCGTCTTGCCCTATCTGAAAACAGGGCACTGCCGCAGGGGGAGGTGGCGGGGAGGTGGATCCCTGCCACGTCTGGGGTGAGGCAGAGCTGTCTCTCATCCTACTGGGACCCCCCACTGTGAAGTTCCCTCCCCCCCCCCCAGGGGGTCACATGGAGCTGTCTGTGCAATTGAACAAGCACAGACTTGCAGGATCTCAGGGTGCTTCTGCAAGGAGGAACCCAAGGGGCGTATCCTGGGCCCTAAACTGCCCCACCATGGAGAAGAGGGAGAAGCCGGCAGTGTCTCCCTCCCAGGCTCTGGCTCCACGGACAAAGAGTCTCTGTGTCCCAGGAGAGGAGGGGTGGGGCCCCATCTGGCCTGAGGGCGAAATGGGGGCTGTGGGGTGGGGAGAGAGAGGGAATCTCCCCAAGCTGCTCCTCCTCCCTCCTCAGGGACCTTGAGGCTAAGACTTCTCCTGCTAAAAGATTCTCATAAAGATACTGCCCTGCCCTGCCCTGCCCTGCCCTGCCTTGCTGGGAAGTTCTTCCTAGTCTAACCCCATCTTCGGACATATCTACGCCCATTCCCCTTTTTGAAAGGACCCTTCTGGGACCACACTCGCTGTCATTTTCTCTCATTCTCTCCCTCCAATCAGAGATTCTTTGCCCAGAATAAAGACAGGAAGGGAATACCCCTGCTAGTTCCCCCAGCCCTAAATAATTTGAAATCATAATAAAAAGACCCTAGTTATGAGTGTAGCAGTGAGGAGAAGAAATTTTTCACAGATAAAGGAAAGAGGCTATTTTGAGGTTAAAGGTTTCCTCCCAGCTGCCTGTCCAGGGTCCGTTCGGAATTGGCATCATCTGGGACCCCTTCCCCTTGCGGGGAATCCGTTGGAGGGTGTCTAGGAGGGGGCAGAGGAGCCAAGGGATGGGTGGCAGGAGTCAGGTGCTGGCCAGCAGAGGTCACCCATCCAGGGAGGGATCAACATGGCCGACGCACCCCGGACTGTACTGATCTCAGGCTGCTCGTCGGGAATTGGCCTGGAGCTCGCAGTACAGCTGGCTCATGACCACAGGCAGCGCTACCAAGGTTAGAGGCCCAGGGTGGGGCCGGGAAGGGCAGGGGTGGGCACGGCTTCTGAGGACCTTCAGCCGTCCTGGCACTATTTCCACTAGCCCATCCCTTCAGCTGTATTTGTGGGCTTGAGGAGGACCCAGGACACATGGAGGCCCCCTTCCCACCTCTGCTCAGGAATCACCCCTTCATCCAACCAATATTTCTTGTGCACCTACTGGGCATCAGGCACTATTCAAGGTGCTGGAAACACAGCTCTGAACAAAATAGACAAAAATCTCTGCCCCGAGCAGTGGTGTGAGGGAGGAGAGGGAGAACAGACAATAAACAGATTTTAAAATTGTATAATATGTCTAGTGCCAATAAGTGCTAAGAAGCAAACTAAAACAAGGGTAGAGTGTGGTAGGAAGTGGGAGGTTGGTGATATTTTTTAAAGGGCTGGTGGGGAGGGCTTCCCGGAGGCTCCACTTGGCATTCCCTAGGACTCCCCTCCCCCACCCCTCCCCTGATTACCACTCCGAAATAAGCCTCTTAAGTGACCCTGACCTTGGGGGCTTAATGGGGTGGGGGGGCTCTAAATCTAGGGACCTGGCCTCCTGCAACTCTGGAATAAAGTGCGCCAGTCTGCACCCCCCCCCCCCAGGAACCTCTGACCCAGAGCACGCTGGAGCTGAAGTGGGCACAGGGCCACTACGTAAGAGGAGGTTGCAGGGGGCAAGGGCATTGCCCCAGTTGGCGGGGCTGATTCTCCCAGCCCTCTGCCCTCTGTCTTAGACACACACACAGCTTTGGGTGTGACAGTCTGAGGGCCAGGGTGCAAGGAAGCCATAGCACTGCACGTGTCTCTGTGCACACGCAGTGAGTGTGTAAAACTGCTGAAGGATGTTTATTCAATCACTTCCCGGCCTTTTGGCGAAGATCAGGTGTGAAGGATGTTTACCGAGTGCTTACAATGTGCCAGGTTCTCATCATAGTGTCGCGCATCACGTGTATCAGTTAATCCCCGTATCACCTCTATGAGGTGGCCATTACCATTAGCTCCATCTTAGAAATGTGGAAACTGAGGCACATTGGGCCAAAGATCCTTGCCCGAGGTCGCCCAGCTGGAAAGTGGCAGAGCTCGGATTTGAACCCAGGCAACCCAGTCCCTGTGGCCACACTTGTCACTGTATGTAGATGCATGTGATCCCATTCATCTGTGCGACACCCATGAATCACACGGGCCCATGGATCATGTGAAAGTGCCCACCAGGGCTGTGCATGTGTGATTGTGGGTACATGCACGAGGGGTACAATCAGGTACGCAGGTATTTGAGCTCAGCACGCGAACAAACCCAGGTACAAGTCTCAGTTCTAACACTTACTAGGGGCGGGACAGACAAGGAACTTCACTTTGCTGAGCCTCAGTGTGTCAGCCACTTCACCTACTTGTCCTGGCTTCTATTGCTAAGCAGCAAATCATCCCAAAATTTATGGTGTAATAGAACAACTGTAATCATCTGTGTCTCATGCTTTACAAAGGCCATAAATTTGGAAGGGCTCGGCCAGGCAGTTCTGGCTCAGGGTCAAAGGCTACAACTGGAACAGTGCGGGGTAGTCATGGGCCTGGGCAGGCATGAACCTCAGGGCTTCTCCATGTGGTCCCTCTATCTGGCTAGCTTGGGCTTCCTCCCAGCAAGGTAGTCTCGGGAATAGCTGGGCCGCTACAAGGTGGCTGAAGATGTTGAGAGTGAACGTTACAGCAAACAAGGCAGAAACTGCAGCATCTTTTCTGGCTGAATCCCAGAAGCCATGCAATGTTACCTTCACCCAATTCTATTGACTCCCGGCTAGTCACAAGATTCAAGGAGAGGGACATGAGATTTCATGACTTGAGGGGGAGCAGCAAAGTTCTCAAAGAGCGTATGCGATGAAAGATATTGTGGCCATCTTTGGAAAATTAGTCGGTGGCCTAATCGTAGGGAGGATTAGAGTCCTAATCATTGGAAGGATTAGAGGTAGGGTTTATTAAAGTGTTCAGCACAGTGTTTGGCACATGGCAGGTATTCAACAAGCTGAAATTTCTGTAGATGATGGAAACTTGGCTATTTGCATGTACACACACACACACACACACACACACACACACACTGACCCTAAGTATGTCTTTCTTTCCTCAAGGCAATATGTTCTGTGTTTATTTTATTGGCTTCCTTCCTGGGCTATACATTCTGTGAAGCCAGGGACTTTGCCTATCTCATTTCATGCAATAGTCTCAGCACCTAGAATAGGGCACAGTGGATACTAAGTAGGTGCTCAGTAAAGGATGGATGAATGAATGGATGAAAGTACATGTAAGTGAATGTACACAAATATGCATTTGTGGCCATGTAGTAATGTAAGTAGGTAAACCTATGGGTCCCCATCCCTCTGTGACTGTGCATGCAAGATTATGGAAATACATGCAAATGAATGCAGAGGGAAAAGGAGCCCAGTGCCTGACCCAACACCGGTCTCTGTTCCCAGTGGTGGCCACCATGAGGGACCTGGGAAAGAAGGGGGCACTGGAAGCAGCTGCTGGAGAGGCTCTGGGGCAGACCCTCACCGTGGCCCAGCTGGACGTGTGCAGTGACGAGTCAGTGGCCCAGTGTCTCAGCTGCATCCAGGGAGGGGAAGTGGACGTGCTGGGTGAGACCAAACAGCCCCCGGGGGTCACTCCCCTCCCTGCCCTAACCACAGGTCCTCGTCCCAGCGAATCCTCTCCACTGTCTGAGCACCAGCTTTCCTGCTTCACCAGAAACCTGTAGCCCTGGACAGAAGGGGTAGACAAGCCGGCTAAAAGCCCAGGGTACCTGTTTATTAAGGATACAAGAATAAACTTGAGTCCTGGGTGTAGGATGGATTTTATTGAATAGAACTTCCCACATTTGGAGAAAACCATATGCAGTTGGAAAAATTACTCTGATGAGTCATTTTGGGGAAAGAGCTTCTGTTGAAGAAGCGACACAAGTTCCCTCAGAGGCTTTTGAAGGAGGGCAGGTGTGGCTGTTTTGATGCAATGTGGGGTCAGAGCTGAACGGCTCATG